GATCCCAGGAACTATGTTAAATCCCTCTCAAGGGCATGCCTCCCATAATCTAACACTAGACTTTAGTTCTACAAAGCCATATTAAGAACCAAGTCTCCAACACATGAACCCTTGTGTGGATGAACTCAACCCACATCCAAACCACAGCAAATGAATAGAGAAAAAAAGTTCTGGAGATAGAAGGGATAGTTATACACAACAATGTTAGGGATTTTTTTTTTTTTTGTGTGTGTGTGTGTGTGTGTGTGTGGTTAAACTGGGGCCCCAACCCTGGTTATACAACAATGTGAATGTGCTTAATGCTACTGAACTATATGTTTAAAAATGGTTAAAAATCATAAATTTTCTTAAACTTATTTCACCATGGGGTGGAAAATACTGATGATTCTAGCCAGGTTAGAAAAAAATAAAAGCCACATGGTTAAGAAGAAAAAAATTACTACTTGCAGGTGTCATGATTATCTACGCAGAAAAATTACACACACACACACACACAAAAAAAAAAAAAGGCCTTATAAGTAACAGAAGATTTTAACAAAGTGCTAGGATACAGTGGTCCACACCTGTGATCCCAGTGGCTCAGGAGGCTGACATGGACAGATCTCAAGTTCAAAGCCAGCCTCAGCAACAGCGAGGCACCATGCAACTCAGTGAGACTCTGCCTCTAAATAAAATATAAAATAGGGCTGGGAATGTGGTTCAGTGGCTGACTGCTCCCAAGTTCAATCCCCAATACCCAAAAAAATAAATAAAAAATTTAAAATTTTTTTTTAAAAAGATACAAAAATCACTTGTACATCAGTATAATAGCACTGAATGACTTGGAAAATGAAACTTCAAAAACAGTGCAATTTAACTATCAAGAATATGAGCCACAATAAGTGTCAGTGAGGATGTAGGGAAAAAGGTACACTCAGACACTGCTGGTGGGACTGCAAATTGGTGTAACCACTACGGAATGCAGTACGGAGATTACTCAGAAAACTTAGAATGGAACCACCATTTGACTCAGTTATCCCAGTCCTCAGTGTATACCCAAAGAACTTAAAATCAGCAAACTACAGTGACACAGCCACATCAATGTTTCTAGCAGCTCAATTCACAATAGCTAAACTATGAAACCAACCTAGATGCCCTTCAACAGATCAATGGGTAAAGAAAATGCGATACATATACACAGTGGAGTATTACTCAGCCTTAAAAAATGAAAGTATGGCATTTGCAGGTAAATGAAGCGGGAAAATATCATGCTAACTGAAATAAGCCAAACCCTCAAATCCAAAGGCTGAATGTATGATTATACTACCAATGTGAGTCTGCACTATGTTCAGCCAGAGAAGAAGTTGTGCTCCATTTGTACAATGTGTCTAAATGCATTCTACTGTCATGTATAACTAATCACAACAAATTTAAAAATTTTTAAAAATTTATTAACCAATTAATTTAAAAAATAGTGCAATTTACAAACTACTGCAGTATACAAATTTAACAAAACATGTATAAAATCTCTCTGGTGACAGTAATAGGACACTAATGAAAAATATAAAAAGACCTAAATAAATGGAGATATCATATTCATTTGATATTTCAGTGACACCACATTGTTAAGATGGCTACGCATTCTTAATTGTTCAATAAACAAAACATCTATGAAAATTTCAGCATGATATTTTGTAGAAATCAATAAGCTAATTCCAAAATTTATATGGAGATGAAGGTTCAGTCTTAGGGTATGTTCTCATCTCATTCTAAATTCTCCCCATAAAAAAATATCATAACCATGGCTTAAATTACTACTTCTACCAAACACACTTTGAGGACTATTCAAAAAGTGAAGTCTATGCTCAAGCAAGAAGCAAGCCTGAGAAAAGGGAATTACAAAAATTACTGAAAATAAGACTGATAATAAGAAGTAACACTAGTTTTCTGAAGAACAAAAAGCAGGTTAGACAACAAATTATATGGAAGAATCATACCAAAGAGACTGAGGAAAGGACTGCCCTGTTACAGTATAATCAGTCGTAAGCAATAATCTAAAGTTCCCAAATATACAAAATATGATTAGACCACTCTGGTGAGACATCTGGCTGAGAATGGTAGGTATCATTGGCTTACTTGAGTCCATTGTTTGATGGAACAGCAACAGCCCAAATAACTCACAAGAAATTACTGCAACTATTGAGAATTCCTTAATTCATTTGGAAAAGTAGAATAATGCAGAAGTGAGGGCACTATTTCATGGCTTTGTAGTTCATATACATCTCATTTTGAAATCATAAAATTAACAATAAATATAGGTAAATGTCTTTTAATTTAGTTAACAAAAATCAGCCTTAATATTCAGAGCTAGTGGATTAGTAGACTTTAACATCTGGCTTAAAATCATCTCAATAATGGCAAATCCCACTTTAATCCATTAAATTCTCTCAGAATTGTTCCACTTTTAAAATCAATAAACTGAAATATTTCAGATTCTGACCATAATTTCCTTTTTCCATGATCATTGAGTACCTCTGATCAATAAACTAGAAACACTAGATTCTTGCCTAACACCCATTCTATCTATCTAGTAAATCACTGGATCTTGTATATTTCATTCTAATACACTAATTTCCATTATCTTACCAGGAACCTGTTAATTCCCTAATCCAATTGATACTTCTGTATCTTGTCCTCTTCATAACATTAGTGGACTTAATACTTCAGAAAGTATGTATTAAATGAAAATTAAGGACATTTTGTTTAAAATTAAAGAGCAAATATCACAGAATATACAAGATGGTACAACCACATCAAAAGACTGATACTCAATTTCTTTCACTAAAGTACTATGAAAGTGTGAGGTCATTTGGGCGATACAGATGCACTATGAATGCTTTTATTGGTGAAAGTCCATGTCATGAGGAAAAAAATCATAAATAGCAACCTTCAAAACATACCTAGCCACTGTTGCTGTGATATCTCACACCAGTATTTTCTCACTGAAAGAATGTCTTTGAGTAGTATGTTGCTACAATCAGCTCCATAAATAACCCCATTGGATGAATCTTTCACTGTCTCCATGATATAATTCAAGAGTTCATGACATTTTAGTCTGGGTGCTCCTATTAAAAATAAAACAAAGAAACATATAAAAATATTTCTCTCATCAATAAACTGGCAGCAACATTAGATTCTTCTCTAGCACATACTCTATCTGTATAGTAAATCACTAGATTTAAAATCTTAAATTAAGAACACTTGTCCTGGATGTAATGGCACACACTTGTAATCCCAGTTACTTGAGAGGCTGAGGCAGGAGCAATCATCGAAAAAAGTCAGCCTCAGTACTTAGCAAGGCCTCAGTACTTAGCAAGGCCCTAAGCACTGAGGGAGACCCTGTCTCTAAATAAATAAATAAATAAATAAAAAGGGCTGGGGATATGGCTCTGTGGTTAAATACAACTGGATTCAATTCCTGATACAAAAAAAAAAAAAAAAACTTGGAATGAAAGAATACTTAAAATAACAACATTTGGGACATTAATCTCTCCTTTTCACAGAACAAGGATTAAAAAATATGGCCCAAGAGCTGGGGTGGTAGCTCATAGTTGAGTGATTGCCTTGCATGTGTGAGGCACTGGGTTCGATCTTCAGCACCACATTAAAAAAATAAATAAAATAAAGATATTGTGTCCATCTAAAAAAAAAAAAAAAAACACCTATGGCCCAAGAGCAAAGTCAGCCAGTTGTCTGTTTTTGTAAATAAAGTTTTTTTTTTTAATATTTACTTTTGAGGTGTAGTCGAACACAATACCTTTATTTTATTTATTTATTTTTATGTGGTACTCCAGATTGAACCCAGGGCCTCGCACATGCTAGGCAAGCACTCTACCACTGAGATATAATAAAGTTTTATTCGAATAGAGTCACATGCACGCCCATTGTGTACAGCTGCTTTCAGGACAAAATAACAGAGTAATTAAGGCAAAGAACACATGGTCTGTAAAGTTAAAATATTTACTATCTAATCCATCTACACATGAAGTTTGTCAAGCCCTGCAGGAATATACAGCAAAATCAATAATTATTCTATCCTTACTAATTCACCTTCACAGTTTTAGCATTAGACTTAAAATGATGCAAAATTCCTTCCCACTTTTATAAAGAATGAATTTATTAGAATAACAAGATTACAAGAAGGCTCTTTACATTGAAAAATAAACATTCTTCCAAGTTCTACAATAGATACACAAACGATATACAAATATGTAAGGCATAATTTTAATAGCATATTATTTGAGATTCTGAAAATTCAGCATTAATATATATTCTTAAAGGTATAAAAACTATATTTAAAAATAACTATTTTAGTAATTCATACTAACGTCATAGCTCAAATGTTATCATAATTTCAATAATGACTTATACACTGATATACCTTATTCCGTAAGTATGTCATAATTTTAAGCACCTGATCAAGATGAACTGTACTACCACATGAACCTTTTTTTTTTTTTTTTTTTGGATACTGGGGATTGAACACAAAGGTGCTTTATCCTGAGCTACATCCCCAGTCCTTTTTATTTTTAGACAGTGTCTTGCTAAGTTGCTTATAGTCTTGTTAAAGCTGAGGGTGGCCTTTATCTTGCTATCTTCCTGCTTCAACCTCCCAGGTCACTGAGATTACAGGCATGTGCCACTGTGCCTGGCCCCCATATAATATTCTTGACATCATGTGCATCTCTCTCCTACAAAAATGTTTTTATCATCTACGATGTCTGTTGTTTTATCAAATCCTTAGGGAAGGGAATTAATCTTTATATCCCCATAAATAGCTATGTAAACTAATATTAGGCTGAAATCATATTTTTCAATGTTGTTTATTCCAATATATTCTGTTCTCTCCCAAATTGGAGAAGTGTTTCAAGAATTATACTAAAAAAAATTCATGCTGACATATTTTTTTCCCTAAAAGTAAAAACTGTCTTATATCAGGGGAGTAGCTTAGTGGTAGAGCAATTGCTTATATAGAGCAGTTTTTATGACCAAAAAAAAAAAAAAACTATCTTAAAAAGACCTAAGGTGCTTACAGAAACTTCATGGAAGTTCATGGAATGAACATTTTTCACAGGTTGGTTTCTTGTTTTCTACGCTCTCTGCTTTGTGCAGATGCAGACAAATGCTAACATAATGGAATGAAAAATATTTCCTTATTTGTTCTTTCCCAGCTGCCTTTCTCTTATTTTTTTCCCCCCTAATGTCTTGTTTCTATCATACCACTTATGAATACCAATGCTAACCAAGTTTGTCAAAATCTGGACATGTGGGGCTGGGGTTGTGGATCAGTGGTAGAGTGCTTGTCTAGCACTTGAGGCCCTGGGTTTGATCCTCAGCACCACATAAAAATAAACAAAATAAAACTATTGTGTCCAACTAAAAAATAAATATTGAAAAAATGTGTTTAAATATTTACAAACATCTGGGTTTTCTGATTCATAAAGTTGCTACCAAAATCATATCCTTAACTGCAAGGACTACAGAGTCTGAGCCCAGAAGTCCCTAAACAAATGTTTCTTCTTCGGCACTGAGTAAATGCCCATTTCCTTACAAAAGCTTACCTGTATTTTGATTAAAAAATACCACTGTACAAGTTCAGCTCTAAAATATGGGAGATATACTGCTTATCAGTAGCTAAAAAGACCTAGCTTTTGTTGCTGTCATTTTTCTTAAGTGATAGTAAACACAACATTAGCTGAGGATGGGTTTTGCTTGCCAAAGAAATTAATGTAACCTCAGAAAGAATTCAGTAAAAATATACAATAAAAGATATGCAAAAGCTGTTCTATCTGTACTCATCAGAATATACCCAAAAAATTGATCACCACACCTCGGGAGATATAATTAAACTAACGAATATTCAGGGGGGCAGGGATTGTGGCTCAGTACAGTGCTCGCCTAGCACATGCAAGGCCCTGGGTTCAAACTTCAGCACCACCTAAAAATAAATAAATAAAGGTACTGTGTCCATCTACAACTAAAAAATAAATATTTAAAAAGAAAAGAGTATTAAGAAGAGAGTGAAATAAAAACTAAAGTCATATGAGCTAAAGAAAGAAGTATATTTACCTAAGAGGACTCAAGGGAAATACTATGGCTATCTTCAAATACCCCAAAGGATCTCATGATAAAAACATGATTAAGTAGGTATTTTTGTGTATTCTTAGAAGCACTAACAAAAAACAGACAGGGTTTAAATAAAGCTGTTCAAAGATAGAAAAGAAAGTTGAATATATTCAGTCATTTACACAGTATTTGTATCTGAGTGCTTGGGATGTAGAGAGGGATACAAGAATGAGGAATTCAAATAATTTTTAATCCTTTTAATTCTAAGACTTTATCATTTTAAGCTTGAATAAATTCTCCAAAATATTTGAACCTACAGTATTAAAATTCATTATATATGCTAGAAGCTATAATTAACATACTTATGTTACCATATTCAGATCAAACTATTGTATGGTAGCCTATTAAACCATTTATTTCAAATAAATAATGTTGCTTACTTTTATTTGCACATTTGATGAAGTATCTGACCAAACTACTGATTTCTTGCATCTTTTTCTGTCTGGAGGTTTGTGTTGAGGCTGATACATTTGGTTTTGCTGTCCTCAAACATTCTGTTTCTTTCTGAATGTATTTCTGCAAAAATCTTCAAGAAAATGAAATAGAATTCCAGAAAAACAATTATGCTTAAATATTTATAATTTTAAAATGTTCTTAATGTCATCACAAAGAACATCTTTTAAAACCACACTGCTTTGCTCAATGTACCAGCTAACTGAAACAAATCCCTTTTTCAAGGCCTAACCTCTACAATACCAATATAGAGTCTGGCCTGCAATGTTCTCAATCTATAGCCTTCCTGACTTTTTATTTTATTACTTGCTTTCTCATTTTGTCATTAAAATTTCACAATATTACTGAGGGCTTTCAACCCTCTCTTCCTCCTTCCTAACTACCTGAGCATACCTATAGCCTTTAAGTGAAGCTCTACCTTCATGACTAGCCAGTAGTATCAGGTGCCAATTTGGCCTACCTAATCAGCTAATACAAAAGAGTACTCACCTTTATGTAATGACTGTATTAGTGGTATCTAAAATAAACCAAATAACCAGAGAACAAGGAACATGCATTTTTCATGTCACATTTATTCAAATCTGTAACAGTGTAGTACCAAATAAGAGCTAAAAAACTGTTTATCTGTTCTAAATACTAAAAGACAACTAAATATTCCTATTTCCTCTTGACTGCAAATATTGTTTCAAGTTATTTAATGCCCTCAATATTCTACATTAATTTTAAATACTTCATCTTTCCCAAGCCTTAAAAACTGCTACAAATGGACTTTATGACTGAAAATCATGTCTGAATGTAAAAACCCATCAACTCTGTTTGCCACTTCGTTCTATCCAAGGATCATATCTTTTCATTGCCTAAGATTTTATTTTTTAACTGTATTCATCTCAAAGTATCCTAATATTTCGTTCACCTGTTTTACTATAACTTAACCCATGGCAGCTGCTCTTAATTCCAGTAATAAAGATGTCAAAATAACAATTAAGTATTTGTTATAACTTCAAATTTTTCCTCTAATTTGCAATGAATTCTTACAAACTAATCCATATGAAAGGAATTCTTTCTCAATATCAGTGGGACATGTATAAGACATTTTGTGAAACACTGATTTAATACTTTAAGCATTCCATATAATAAGCATCCTTTAAATATAATGCTTTGGATAATCATTAAGTGCTAATTTCATATGCAAGGCACAATAAAACACAAGTAGCAAAGCCTTACAAAAACAATATCTCAACAGAAATAAAACTGAAAGACAAAGCAAAGACAATTTTAAATGTACAGTACCTAAAAACAGCATCCCAATTCAAATATTTTCCTTGTTTGGAATCTGAATGCCTATCTAAATGTTGAACTGTTTCAGGATCCCGAATCAGGCGTTTAAATTTCTCAACTTCTTTCTGAAAACAAAAATGAACATGATAATGTATTACCGATCACATTCAATTTCAAGGAAAAATTAAATCTAAGCCATTTACTACCCTTCGTTCTGTAGCTCTATCATGTTCTAGTTGTCGGCAGCAAATAAGCAGATCATTAAGTGCTAAACTCATGGTTCAGGATTTCAGAACATTAGTATCTGTAAAAAAAAAATAATATATATATTAATAATAATTAATAATAATTATGTAATCGTTTACTTCATTTATATATTTTTCTCATGCTAGGGACTGATCCCAGAGCCTTACAAAAGCTAAGCACATGCTCTACCATTGAACTACACTTCCAGCCTTTACATAACTTAGACTGTGTTATTAACAAGCATATTGTCATCAAAGGCACAGTGGTTTTTAATATCTGCATGTTCCAATATTCAGTTAAATTTAAAATACTTAAATTTAAAATATTTCTTAGAACATATAAAAACAATGTTCCAGTACTCAAATTTATTCTTTGTTTACAGTAGCAGGATAAAGTCTAATTTTCTTGGGGAAAAAAACAGTTCAGTATTATCTACATAAATAGAAGATGTTCATTCATTGATACATAAAACAATATTTCCTTCACACCTACTATGTTCAAAATACTATTTTAGGGATAGCTAACCCCCCCACAACAAAAAACGAACTAAACTAACACAAATCCTATCCTTATGGAGCTATATGTGGGGAAGAGGAAAATAAACAAGTAAAATGATAAAACCATGGGGAATTCCAAATTGTGATATATGCCTCAAGGCAACAAAAACAAAAGAAAATAACAGTACCGAGGATGGTGTTAGATAAATTGTCAGGGAACACATCTCAAAGGAAGTTATCATAAAGTCAAGATCTGAATGAAGTGATGCCAATTATATAAGGAGCTAGAAGACCAACACTGTAGGGAAAGAGACTAGTATAACCAGAGTCCCAAGAAGAGTGTGGTATGTTGGAGAAACTAAAGGTTCCACTCCCAACATTCAACTGAAATGATACAGATTTCTAAGCCTTTGAATTGATAAATCCAATGTTCCTTTTCAGATTTTAATCAAGTTAATCTCTTTGAAGACTTTCATAAAGACTACATCCTGTCTTCTGAGAAATAATTCTGGCTTGACATGCCATTCTTGAGCACGTGAACTCTATAGTAATATTGTATTGCTTCAAATCCTGATCCAGTCACATAAAAACTCTACAATATAGACAAAGTTTGTTCATTAATCTCTCCAAATCCGTTTTCTCAATAACAAAACAAAAAGCAATACTCATATATAGCTCAAAGGGGGTGTCATAAAGATTCATGTTTAACATAGTGCCTTGAAAACAGCCTATGTTCATATTAGTAATTATCATATTCCCCTTTTTATGACAGTTTAAAATGTCTCTTTGATGGTTCTTCCTCTCACACCTCAAATACAGTGTTTGTCTCCTTGCTGTCTTCAACGTGTTGAAGACTCCAAATCTTACTCAATGCCAGACCAGAGAGATCTTGGGCTTCAGGAACTTGCTACACTTTGTGCCTTCAAACGCATTTCCCGGTCTGGAAAGCTACTACCACCCTCCAGAACAATGGACACAGTCATGTCCAGGTCAAACTGATTCTCCCAGGTTGCATTTCCACAGAACCTGTTGCTCTACCACTTCAGCACTCTTTTATAACATTATCACCTTGAATTGTAGTTCTCTACTTATCTTCACTTCTTTAAGCAAAAAGCCACACAGCTTAAAATCATTATTCAAACTCTGGTACTGTGGTTCCAGGGCCCATGATCTTAACCACAAGGCTGAAATTTAAATCTCAATAAACGGTCGCTGTCTGAAAGTATCAATTACTTTGAAAAAAAAAATGACTTTGTCAAGTCACTTAAATTTGAACCGTAAGGTAACAGGGTACTGGGGTAATCAGGAAGGGGGGTTCAACTTAAAAGAGTATGCGTGCATATTAAAGACACACACACACTGCTCCCTTTCCTGGATGTTGAATCCAGAGGGATTCCACCTCTACAACCCCCTTTTTTGTTTTTTGATACAGGGTCTAGCTGGGCTGGCCCTGAATTTAAGATACTTCTGCAAGGGCGCCAGGAGAAGCTGGGATTACAGGCATGCACCAGCAAATTTAAAGTCCGCTAGGGGCCGAGAGCGAGGACAGGAAAAAATAATAATGGGGACCGGAGGCCGGAAACAAGGGGTGAAGACAGGAGGGTAGGGCAGCTCGGAAGCAATGTATGGGACTGCGCTCCCCGAAAGAGGAGCTACAGGAACCAAGCTAATACTCCCACGCAAATACTCCCACGCACAAGCCACTGAGTAGACTCCCCATCCCTACCGCCGCGCTCTGACCGCCAAAGTAGTATCTCTGGAGGCGGCAGGGGCTGCAGCCCAAATACACGCTCCTCTGGCCTCCTCCCCACCACAGCTTTGCAACCCGTTATCCACGGTCTTTCCCGCTTCCGGCTCAAATGCAGCGTGGCGGCGGAGCTTCAGTCCCGGGAGTAAGAGGCTGGCAGAGCGGTGGCGCACAGTGTGCTCATGCGCAGGAACATCACGCGCTCTCAGCTCAAAACACTAGCTCCCCCAAAACATTCGCCTGGTCAGAGAAGGCGCGCCTGCGCCCTGCCCACCAATAGCGAGCTACCTTACGCCTCTGGCTCGCCCAGAGGCTCCGACACCCCACCTCCTTGCCCTCTTCGGCCCCACCCCTCCAACTCTGCGGACGGAAATGACGACAGCGCCAGGGAGCTCGGAGGCGGGTTGCATTTCGGCGCCTTTCTTTCCCCTGCGGAAGCGATTGGTTGTTGTCGGGCGAGAGAGGCGGGACAAATTGTCGCGGGTTCAGTGCCGCCAGTGGAACCGGGAGATGCGGCGCAGAAGCTGTCGCTGTGTTTGCCTTCACCTGAGTCTCGTCTCTTATTCTGGCTCCTTCTGCGACTCGGATCATGTTGTTACCTTCAGACGTGGCCCGACTGGTATTAGGTAAGCGCGGGCACCGGAGGAAGGGTTACTGGACCAGGCGAAGCAAGACGGAAGGACCTTAGCGGCCAGAGGCTTTCCTTGGGTGGGGAAGCTTTGGGGGTTTGCCGCCTCGCTTACAAGTTCATATCTGGTGATAACTCTCGGTCCTTCGGAGGCTCCGGGAAGTTTAAGCCTCTTTGTAGGTGAACGCTCCTCTCCTCAGGGGCTGCGTGGAGAGGGCAGGCTCGAGGTGGAATACCTGGAGCCTGGATTCCGAAGAAAGTCGGGCCTGCGCGCTTAATTGCGACCCCTGGTAGAGAGTTGTCTACGTGACGGTCTGGCTGTGTGTTGGTTAACCTTTCCCTTGTCAGAGCTGAGACCAAAATAGGACTCCTCAGCCACCCCGCTTTGGAAAAAGGCCTTTCGGACGCCCTTCTCATATCCTGGCCTTAGAATTTAGGATTTGGGGACTGATGGGGGTACTCTTTCTCCATACTCCCCGCAGTACGTCGCCCAGCGTAGAGGTTTGAAATGCCAGTTGCATGTTTTAAAACAGTCGTAATTCCAATTCCTTTCAGGGAGGAAATGCCTTTTTGTTACACATTTTATAGCCCTAGTTTTTCCCCCATTGGAAGAGTGGTTAGTGGGCTACTTGTTTGTCTGAATGTATTGTCTGTGTAGGAGAATTTTTTTGTTCTTGTTTGCCCCCTGAAAGAATAAAAAGGATTGTAACGAGAGCCATAGACCACGTAAAGCTCAAAAGCTAAGCCAATGATTTACAAATATCATATGAGTCGTCCCTAAAAGTAAATGGTAAACATATGTGATGAAACCTGCCGTAGTTTCAGCAACCATTATTGTACTACCATTTTTTTTATTGTTCGAAAACCCCAATTGTTTTGTGCCTTTAAAAACACTCAGCCCGTTCCAAATATATATATATATATATATATATATATATATATATTTGTGCAGGGCTCATAATCACATTTGTGAGAAACCTGGGAGGGGCCGGGAGAATGGTTCCACCATTCATTTTTGGAAAAAACTAATGACTGAACACAAAAATTTTGTTAATGTTTAATCTTTTCCTCACTTTTTCAAAACTGATTATCTATAGGATCTACTCCATACGTTCGATTAAAAAGCTGGATGCCTTGAAATCATTATATTTATTAGGCTTACCTATAAGTGAAAAGTGGACTTTCATAATATGCATTGATAACCCTTATGTTTTTCCTCTGTATATTTGCTTAAGAATTTTGTCTTGTAGTAGTTAGATGATCCAATTGAACTTCAGTACTCATAGTCTTAAAAATGGTGTTTCAACCTCAGCATTATTAACATTTTAGAGTGGATAGTTTTTTATAATAGGTAGTTGTCCTATGCTCGAATTTTGTAGGATGTTTTAACAGCAGCTGTTCTTTTGACTTTTTCCTCTTTTTTTTTAAATTTATTTTCTAGTTGTAGTTGGACAAAATATCTTTATTTTACTTACTTATTTTCATGTGGTGCTGAGGATCAAACCCAGGGCCTCTCACATGCTAGGTGAGCGCTCTACTGCTGAGCCACAACCCCAGCCCCCCCCCAGCCCCTTCTTTTAGTGGATAAAAACTTAAGAGTCATTTGGGGCTTTTTGTTAATGTCTTCACACTACAGTTACTGACACCAATCCCAGCAATATACCTCCTCTTACTTCTATTTTAGACTTTTGTCATGGCTTCCTAAATAAGTGTTTTTTCAGTGTTGGGGTGGAACCCAGGATGCTTTACCACTGAGCCACATCCCCAGCCCTTTTTATTTTTGAGACAGGGTCTCACTAAGTTACTGAGGCTGGCCTAGAACTTGTGGTCCCTCAGCCTCAACCTCCCCAGTCCCTGGGATTATAGGCATGTGCTACTGTGCCCAGCTTCCCTTGTAGTCTTCTTGTAATTCATCTTATTTGCTATTATAAATCTTCCTAAAGCATGCACACCAGGCCAACTATTCTAAAAGTTGAAATAGTTATGCACTTAATGAGTGTACAAAAAGATCAAGACTTCCCCATTCTCAGCTCTTGATTTTGTTATTTAACATTATAAATCTTAAAATTATATACATATATATCAGAACTACCATTTTATTAGCTCTTGATTCTTATGTCATACACTCTCCACATCTATAGCCCCTTCTGTATTAAACCCATGTTTTTTAGCAAATCTTTGTGTGCCTAATAAATTCCAAACACTGTACCAATTTCTAAGAATTAAAAATCAAGTTTTCCCCCTTTACATTTACATGATTAGGGTTTTTACCCTTAAACACATACAACAAAACCACTTTCCTTAATTTCATCTTACTCTTTTTATACACTCAGTCAAATTTATTCACATAACAATTTAGTTGCTTTACTTCATCTCCTTTGCATTCTTCAGCAAATTATACTGACTTCTGCACCTCATTACTCACTTGAACAGCTCTGGTTATCAGTGTTATTTATTGCCTTTGAACACCACTTTGGTTTTTATCAGCATATCAGGTGAGGTGCTCTGTTGAACTGATCCTACTTGCCTCTCTTGCTTGATCTCGTTTTAACATTTGCCTTATGCTGCAGCAAATGTTTCAGGGCAAACTACTTGAAGTTTCTCCCCATATTCTTATATATTCTGCTTTTCCTTGTCTAACATGCTTGTATTCAAGATTCAGGTAAGTTTGAAATCCCAGGGGCTCAGGAGGTCAAGAGAGGAGGATCCCAAGTTCAAAGCCGGCCTCAGCAACTACGTGAGACCCTGTCTCAAACTAAAACATTAAAAAGGGCTGGGGATGTGGCTTGGTGGTTAAGCGTTCCTGGGTTTAATTCTTATCCCCCGCCCCCCCGCCAAAAAAAGATTCAGTTCAAACATGATCTCTGAAATCTCTCCCAGCAATTACAGTTAGTGCTTTCTGCCTAAAGGTCTTATTGTAGCTGTGATTTTTTTTCTTTTTTGTAAGTCTACCATTTTTGCTATTTTAAGTGTGCAGTTCTGTGGTATTAAGTACATTTACTATGCTCTGCAACTGTCAACATCATCCTTCTCTATACTGAAACTTACTTTTTGTCCATCTCAGTGTGTATATATATATATATATATATATATATTGTAGGGTAGGTGGACACGATACCTTTTTTTTTTTTTAATAATGTGCTGAGGATCAAACCCTGTGCTTTACACATGCAAGGAAAGCTCTAATACTGAGCCCCAGTTTCAGTATTCTTAATCTTGGATTAATGAACAAGCTTCTGAAGTTCTGTGAGCCTCCAAAACTATCTGTAAAAGTTTATATGCCTCTGGCATTTTTATAGATGAAGGGTCCCGAATTTTCTTCAGTTTCCCAAATGGGTTTGTTACTTTCTATATGAGTCAGCATCTAATCAGAAGTAATAGGAGTCAATGTATTTAACATAGAAGTATTTAATGAGGGAATTGGCTACACTGGTGATAGAAGAACTAAGAAGCCAAACAGCTTACTCAAGGCTACTCAGAGGTTACCATAGCAGGAAACCATTCACTAACGGAGAGGACAAGGAGAGAGAAAGCAAACCAGAGGCAACTGTAGTAGATGGAAGGTAGACTTTTATTTGTAAGAGGGCACTAGTGATAGAGGAGATTCTATTGAGGCAGTGATAAAATGGGAGCAAAATACACAGCCTCTTCCTCCTGTCCTCTGGTCTTACATTAGCGCTTCCCATTTAGCATAGCCAGCCAAAGCTAGCTGACATGAGCCTGGGAAACCTTGCCAGTATGGAATAGGCTTCCTGTCATACAGAAGAATGAAGAATGGATTTGAGGGCATGCAGGACAAGAACAGGCACACCCCCCAACAGATCAAGAGCCACTGGTTCTATTCACCTCTATATCACAAAAACGTAAAAGATATTTGATAAGCATTTACAGAAGTACAACTGTGAGCATGATATTCCCCTTTGTCTACAGAATAATATCTGTACTCATAACTGACATTTACAGTTTTTCATGGTCCTTAACTATTTTTTTGGTTGTATCGCCAACTAACTGTTCCTTTTCGTATACTTTGTGGTGCATCCAAATTGGGCTTTTTCCCAAAATAAGCTCTGCATATACACTTCATATCAGTGTGTTGAGGACCCCTTCACCCTTCTGGATTCACCTCCTCTTTGAAGCATTGCATAGTTTTCCTCCAAGCCTGGTAATAATTTCCCTCACCCTTATCTTCTCATAAAGTAATTCAGCCCTATTTTCTTATTGCTTTTGCTTTGCGTTGCACTTCTTTTTTTGTATACTTATCATTTTATTTGAAGTTGGACACAATACCTTTGTTTTATTTGTTTATTTCATGTAGTGCTGAGGCTGGAACCCAGGGCCTCACACGCGCTGGGCAAGCGCTCTCTACTGCTGAGCCACAATCCCAGCAGGTGCATTACACTTCCTTGTGTATGTATCTTCTGGCTTCTTATGGATCATAACATTTATAGATTTAAGACCTGTCTCTTTTTTTGCAGATCTAGTAGTACAAGGCACTATTAAGTCTTAAGAATCATTTACATCTTCAAGAACGTAAAACCACCAGTTTCCCTGGGGAATTATTATAGTATGTGAAGGAGATATTTTCACATACATGGCTTTACT